TCTCCCATGTCAAACAGGCTTTTGCTGAGGGGCCATACTCAGTGTGCCAAAGATATACTGGGGCTGAGCAGCAGCAGCAGCAGGAGGGAAGACAGAGGATCTCTCAGAGACAACGGTAATAGCACCATAGCTAACACTTGTTAGTACTGCATAGAAGGAGGCACAGAAAAAACCCTTTTGAATGTCTTTTATACAAAACCCTATGATGAGAAAATCTATAATGAAACAAGAGAGAGTGCCAGAAGATGGCATTTCCACGTTGGATGGAATTCAACAACCTACTGGTATACAGCAGAGGACACTCTATGAACAGTGGTGTGGTTAATGATGAAGCTGAAGTCAAGCCAAAAGGGCCTTCAGCTGTTGACATGCTCAGAGGTGAAAAGAAAGTCTGAAGTTGTAAGACACATGTCATTGGAACATGGGAAGCATGAATCAGGAGAAGCTAGACATAGGGCTGATACAGACCGACCGTTTGAGGCAGCACAAAGTATGCAGGTATGCGTCTGCCCCGTCCCCAACTCTATCCCTTTTGGGCCGGTCTGCAACAGCCCATAGTAAAACAAGGCATTTAATGTATAAACATCAGCCTAGGATCCAGAAGTGAAATAAGAGAGCAACTGATTGAATTTTGGCAGACCAGGTTTCTTCATTGCAAACACATTCTGTAAGCAACCTAAGAGGCCAATAGAGAAATCAAATAGACTACATAATCAGAAGCATAAAATGGAGAGGCTCAATTCCTTCTGTAAAACAAGACCAGGAACAGATTGTGGCACAGACCGTGAACTGCTGATATCAAAAATTAGTGTAAAGCTAAAGAAGAAAATTAAATTAACCACTGTGCCAAAATACAAGGAGAATATCCCCATAGAATGAAAAGATCATGTAAAAATATATTTGCACTATTAAGCCTAATTGACTGGGAGCCAAAAGAGCTCTGGACTGAAGCCAGGAATATTGTTGGTGAGGAATACAAAAAGACTCTTATCTGCCCCCAACAAGAAACAGAAGCTACAGAAGTTGATTTTCTTCCTATCAGTTTTCAGCATCAACTCATATGAAATGTGATACTGTAGAAGAGTTCTGCAGATACTGTGGACTGCTTAAAAAGACAAAGAAATGAGTCCTACAGCAAATCAAGCCTGAACTCTCGCTAGAAGTCAAGATAGCTAAACCGAGACTGCCATATTTTGGCCATATCATTGAACACAGGACTCACTAGAAAAGTCAATAATGCTTGGCAAGGTGTAAGGCAATAGGAAAAGAGAAAGACCACATTCCAGATAGACAGACTCAATCAAGGAAGCCATGGTCCTGAGTCTGCAAGACTTGAACAATGTGTTTGATGATAGGGTGAGTTGGGGGTCTCTCATTCATAGGATCTCCATAAGTTGAAGTTGACTTGATGGCAGTTAACACCACCATCATCATCATGTTTTTAAATCTTGAGTTAAGTCTTGGTGGCCTATGGCAACAAAATACATTTTAAGGGTCTTCCTGGTAAAGAAAAGGCTAAGAACCACTGTCATAGATAACCCATAAATAATTTCAGACATAGAAAAGTTTAAGCTGATGTTGTTTCTCTCTCTCTCTCCCCCCTCCTCTATATAAATAGTTATATGATAACAAAATAAAAGTAATGTTTAAAAATGGATAATAAGCAATCAGTCAATACAGTAAAATATGAAATTATAAGGTTTAAAATTTCCTAAAAGATGTAATTAAATATAAGAAATAAAAGACAGTTGCCCCTCCTTTTTCAAGGGGGATCCATTCTGGACCCCTCCGCAAAAGAATAAAAATATAAACATTCAAGTCCTATTGGCTTGAGTGGAGGCACGTGTCCGTGGGGGCGAGCGGATGTGCACCGTGGGCATGCATCCCATTTTGTGCCCCTCTGTTTGTCCCTCGCAGATAAGCGAGGGTTGCGGACTTCAAGTCCGCAAAAACGGAGGGACAACTGTACACAAATGCAATGCTTATAAATACGTTTATGGAATGTACATTTCTTGTAAGAGACAGCTAATCTCAGTTATTCTCATGGGCAATTCTAAGCTGGACTGTTTTCACTGCAAATCTAGATTCATTTACCAGGAATGATCTAACTAAACTAGGGGCCTTTGCAGACTGCCAGAAATCGTGCACATTAAATTGAGGCACTGTCCTGGCTCAGTGCTAGGGAGTCATGGGAACTGTATTTTTTTCTGAGACATTGAGCCTTCTCTGTCAGAGAGCTCTGGTGCCACAATAAATTATAGTTCCCATGATTCCCTAGCACTGAGCCAGGACAGTGCCTCAATTTAATGTGCACTATTTCTGGCAGTCTGCAAAAGCCCTAGATAGCAAGTATATAGTTTTATTTCTATCATTAAAGTGAGCTGCAGTCTCCACTTACCAAGTATTTACCGTATCTCTTGCAATTTCATATAACTGACAATATAACATGTAGTGTACAGTATTGTCATCCACCTGTTTTCCATAAATGCAGAACAATTGCTCTCTGAAATATTCTTATATCTACCTTCATAAAGTTAGTCTTCATAGTCTGAAAATGCAGAGCTGTAAATGTCTTGTGAAGGGAGGGTAGGGTAATCAACTATGTCTCTTCTCTGTAGTATTTTTTTAAAGGAAAACTGGAAGAGAATTTAGATAACCTAATTGCCTCAGTGTCCATCCTAGCATAATAGTCCTTCAACTGTTCTTTGATAGATTTGCAAGTTTGTTGTATGCCACTGGATCAAAACCAGCTGGTCAAAACCAAGCTTCCTCAAATAATGCTTCACATCTAGTTCATTTGTAATAAAAGCACTCTGTTTGGTTCACTTCATGCTGCAAAGACTTACATGGTATTCTAGTCAGTATAATGTCAGCATACAATTGTCAATGCAAAGAACATTAAGGATATTTCAACAACTTCATGACAGGGGAAATCCCAGTAAATTTTCTGGGATTTTCTCCTCACATCTGCAATAGGTAGGAACAAGCCTAGTGAAACTGACAACACTTTTGAGTCTTGCCCAGCTTGTCTAAGCTGAACCTGGTCAGATTCACAGTTTTTTGTTTTACATTTATGGAGCAGCTGGAGACCAACATGGAATTGGAAGAAAGAAAGTAGGTTAATAATCTTGGCAATATCACAAGAAAGTTGTCCCTTCTCTTTAGCCATGGATTTCATAGAGAAAATATCTGAATAAAAGCAAGTACACTTAATAATTAAATTATAGGAAGTGATTCTGTTTGCAGATTATAATAAATAGCAATATGCAAACCCATAGTAGGATTATCTAAATTAGTAAACAAAATTCCATTGCTGCATGGTCCCAAACAATGGATGATATAAAAACATAATATATGGGATATAGCTCTCATGTGGATTCAGCCTTAGTCTCAAAAGCAGCATTAATAAGCTTGCCATGAGATTAGCTGTCTCATCATGCCATTTATAAAACCAATTATAATCCACATCAGAAGAAGAACAAATACAGTTAGGTAATGGAGACAGAAAACTTGAATGAAAATTAGGAGCAATTATGATTAAGGGCCGCATCCAGTGACATGTGTGGAGACTTCCACTTACAAAATGTAATCACCTGGATGCAGTGAAGAACTAGATAATAATAATAATAAAATTTATTTGTATCCCGCTTGTTGAAAAAAGCAATCCAAGCATCTTACATAAAAACCCATACAATATAACCCCACAGACCAACCCACCCCCCCTTAAAACAGTATTAAACATCTCATAATTAAAATAACAATAGACATAAAAACAATTAATATAGATGTAGGTGAACAAACTTAATCCCAGTCCATGTTAGACATTCTGTATCCATTAGTCTCCAGAACCATTTTAATAAGTCCCCCACACCTGCAGAGATTAGCAGTCTCAGCAAATCTAAATCCTACTTTGCAATGACCTTCCATGACAATGAAGTTCTTTCCAATGGGAGAAAGCACTCCTGTCTTTATATTGCA